GGCTCCTATGCATATGTTCCCTGAAATATAACATCTGGAGTGGATCTACCATGTTTGCCTTAATTCAATTAAATTTTATTTATCCTTTTTACTTCTGCGGACACCACAGTCCATGATGAATGTTGGACTCTTTTACAATTGCTTGGCATTCATCCTGATCCTGTGACTTTTGTCTCCAATTTCTAATTCCCATTGTCTTCAAATCTTCAACTGAATCCAGACACCTGAAAGCAGGTCTGCCTACCAATCAGGTACCCTCTGGTTTATGTAGAATTAACTTATTTCAGGGATTCTGCTTCATTCTAAAATGGTATCTCAGTCATCTGAACTGCCTTACTTTGATCACTTTCACTACTGACATAGAATCTATCTTACATACATATCTAAAATTAACAAATATTTCAACTAAGTTTCTCTGTGCTACCACACAATACAGATAAGTCATAAAAACAAACCAACTGGAATACCATATTCTGTTGACATACAGAGTAAACTGTACGTTGTAATATGTAGGATCTCAGCCATCTTTTAAACTGCCTCATCCCCCCCCCCATATATAATTTCATTTGGTAATTTATTGTATAATTTAATTCCCATATTGATTACACATTGAAACTATTTGTTCTGCAGAACTGAACATAGAGGTTCAACATTTGGCATGTGCTATGATTACGAACTACAGCGTTTTCTTCCAAGTTTTTATGTAGTCATACATGGTATATTTCAGTTACATATAATAATATAAATAAATACACAGGTATATAATGGCCACAGGTTCTAGTACACAACAAAATTAACTGTACTTAAATGCAGCCAGTTGTCGGGAATAACTTGGACAAATAAGACAAATGAACATGTAGAAAGAACATTTATTGTAGGATACTATAACATTCATATACAGTAATTTACAAGAACTTCATGTTTATTCAGATACAAACACTGATGAAAAATAATTTCATAATAAACCTTTAGAAGATAACTGACTAAAAAGTAATATAATTCAACCTAGTTTTTACCACAAAATTTATTAAATGATTTGTCTGTCTGCTTCATCTTCCAAAAATGAACACAGCATATTACGGTTTCCGCACATAATAAACAATTCTGTAACAATATTCAAGTTGAATTTTACTGTTCCAAGACTCACTACTGAGAATGTAACAGTCAGGATTAACAAAATTTCATAAATGTTTTCAGCAGAATAAGCATGCCAGCAACTAGGGCCTCTATTTTGCCTGTACAGTCGTCTCCTATTACAGCTTCCAGAACTGCTTTATGGCAAGAACAATTCCCACATCATTGGTTATGAAGAAAAGCAGCCCAGCCAGTGTCACAATTGACAGAAGGTATACTGCACCAAGAGCAATTTTTGGAATTACATTGCCAAAAATTACTGGGCGCACATAGTCCATGACTATAGCTTCAATACCCCTGGAAAGAAATCCAGATATACAAAGAAAGTCTGCTTATAATTCAATAAAGCAACATGTTTCTTCGATTCTATATTACAGTATAACTCTTGTGTCCACATATACACCAACATTTTGGCTGATTTCCCACTTCATGTTATGAGTTGGATTTTGGGGTTCTGGCAATCTTGCTTGGTCACCAGTGGTACAGGAAATAAAAAATCATATCCAAAGACATTTAAGTTATTGGAGTCTTTTTAAATCTGACTTCCCTTTGTCATCTTAATTGCCTATGTAAATGTTCTATACAAACAGTACAACAGGAATAAATTAAATTTCACATTAATTAAAAGCAAGACAACACATGCTAGACCTGCCTTTATTTATAAATACAAACTACTCCGTCCAGTGTGACATAGTAAAAACTTACATGCCACACTGGACGGAGTGGTTTGTATTTATAATTGTTAGTGTGACGGGCCAGAATGAAACAAATCAAATTTGCCTTTATTTAGCTACTAGATTTTAAACTTTTTTTTTTCTTTTTTACTTCTGTATATATATTCATATACAAATTCAAATAACATTTGCTAACAGTGGCCAAGATTTGTGACTATCTGCTGGCATTCAGGATCTCATGGTGTAAAAGGTAAGAAAGTATACAAATTATGGTAACTAAACTAGTAAGGTTGTTATCTAGGCCTAATTAAGCATCACACCACAAAGACATTGTTGAGTGGACATACAGCCCCACAGTCTTAAGCGCGGCACTAGATGGAGGTGGGTTACCAGCTAACCTGTCCCTGCCAAGAAAAACCCTGATTACCCAGCTGTCCGGCCCATAACCTAGTTGCTATTGTGACTGGGATGTAGACATAAATCCTTAAGACTGCCCATAATGGTTCATTCTCACAACTCCATGGTTCCAGCCAATACACAGATGAGAAGAAATACAAGAAAACTAAACAATGTTTCAAATTAATGTGAAATGACATGAATTGGAATAGGCACCTGAAACAGCAAAATACAAGTCAGTTCACATTTTCAACATTACATCCTACACATTAGCAGCTACTGTAATTCCATACATTCTAATCTGCAGTTTATGGAAGCAGTAGCTACATGCCCATCAGAAAAGCAATGGATTAAAGGCTACAGAAAGATTAAAATCCTATGCCAGAGATGGAATTAGAGTGAATGATTTGCCCAGGATACATATTTTAATGAAACTTTTTAAGGTATGCAGTCATGAAAACCTGGTTCTGTTCCATATATGCTTACATTGTATATTACCTCACAGAAGAGACTTTTATTATCAACACACAATACTTACCAATGATTATGCATCACAACCGTTACTGCCAACAGGTAATCCATAAATTGAGAAGGGATGAGAAATGCTAAAGGTACAATCCCAAGAAGACTAACACTCAGAACTTTTTCTGCAGCCCAAAGTTTTGTATGGTCATGTCCTTGGCTTGCCATCTGTTTAGCACTTAACGAGAACTGCTTCACATTCTGCACCATTAAAGCATGTGGTGGTGCAGCACAGGAAATATTCTGCTTAGTCATTTCTTTCTGGAAGTATAGAGGCTGCTGCAAGCTAAATGTTTGGTGGAAGTGACTGCTGCCTGTTACAGTACTGCATTTTAAGACATGTCCTCTTGTTAGTGACTGCAATGGGCAAACTGCAGAGTACAGAAAAAAAGTCTTTATAAGAGACATCCTGAGCTGTAACACTTCTTGGTATAGGAATGTCCATCAAGTGTAACAAGTTTAATATGGGAATAGGAAAGTTTGTCTTTACATGTTTCGTCCACTACTGACCATCATCAGAATGTGTGGCCAACACCATAAAAAAAAAAGACTTCATTAATAACGTTTCAGTAAAAAAAATTATTGATCAACAAAATTCCTATATCATATATGCAGACAGAAATGTGGCCAACACTAAAAGATATTCTACACAACCAACAGTAGAAAAATATGGCTGTGATGTTCATGTAGTTACGTGACAAGACTTTTAACAATTTGTCATTGCATTAATATTCTGGCTACTTGTAGAAATCACCTTACAACTGCCTATGTTCAACGTATATGTAAAGTATTTACTTACACCTTCTGATGATGGCCAGAAGTGGCTGAAATGTGTGAAGACGAACTTTCATATTCTCATACTGAACTTGTTACACTTGATTGACCTTAATACTACTCATTCATGTACACAAGACAAGTATATTAAATTTTCAAATAGTGAAACAGTTTTTGTAAGTTGGATTCTATCCGCACGTGCTGTCACAACCAATTCTCCAATCAACTGCAATCAGTAGTATAACCATTTACTCATTTTGGTGAGGGTCCTGGTTTTCTTACCACCAAATTCAGACACTTCAGAATAAGGAGGCCGAACTAATGCTCCTATAGCAGATTCATTATGAGTACCACAGAAATAGGCTCCTGCACTAACAACTAGTGACAAAGTCATTCAAGTATTAATATCAATGTCAACATTTTATTATTATTCTTATTTATTTTTGTAAAGTATTTAACTTGTCCTATATCATGTATAAAGATCCATGGATATGACGTAAATAAATAAATAAATTATAAAACCGTATGCAAAGCATAACGAAAGTATTAAACCACCATGGGGGCACATTTCCTTGTCATCATTTACAAAAACTACATAAAGACGGCAAAACTCATTTCCTATGCACTGGTCCAAACGTTACGCTCCAACACTGCTGGCATGAAATGAGATTCTGGGTAGTGGAATAAATGGAAAGGTAAAAGTTTTATCTCCAATCTCTAGTAAAATTTGTAATTAACAACACCGAAAAGCTAATAAACTTCCACGATACTGAGAGTACTCGCATGCCAAAACTATGTTCTTCAGAGGGCTGAAAATATACTTTGCTCTAATTACTCCAACCTATGGCAGTACGTTAGATCAAACCGTTAAGCAATATTTCGGTCAGCCGTTTATATAACTCCTTACGTTTCAATTTCATTGAAACACCACGCAAAATACAACTGAGCGCCATCACTGTCGTTTATGGGATTCCAGTTAGATGTGTTCTCATGTGTTATTCCACTCCCAAAACTTCTACCGCTGTTTACTACCACGGATCAGAAATTACATCGTGCGTCTTTCAGTTTTACTACGCCAATAATCACTGGTCACACATGTAACCCGATGTAACCATCTAAGTTCATAAATTTTTACAACTCGGCACAGGAATTTTCCTTGTATTCAGTGGCAATTGACGAATCAAAATGTATTTGTTTCATTACAATATGAAATTTCCCTCCTTTGTTTCAACACCAGTGAACCGTAGAATGTCTACTTGCAGAGCTACCCAGCGGACCAGAAAAGATACAACGGGCTTTTTGAGAATTGAAAATTGTTAATGAACAGCACCAATTCTACAAAGATGGATCACATTATCGGTATCAAGATGATCAAGACTGTGTACCTCCGGTTACGAGCGTCGCGAGTCCGAACAGCCTTGGCCGCCATAGGGCAAAAACGAAATGGTTGGCGGTAAACCGCCAGTTGTAAGGTAAATCGGACCCTGACGTACACATATCCCGCAATTTACGAAGGTAATTCACTGCATGTAAATTGTCTGTAATGTGAAAATTCGTGTACGACAATGATAGTCCCATTACTGTACATGTAAGCGTTGCCGACTCGCCCATAGAGTCCCAGAAAAATCCCCATGTATTTTAACTTAAGTTTTGATAGTAAATAAGCATTAAAGGACTTCAGGACTCCTTTCTGATATTCACTGTTGCAAACAAAACTGTATTTTTTATTCACATTTATTTTCTCATAGCTAATCCAATGAAACTGTGCAGTTTGTAGTCAAATTTATTGCTGTTCTTCCTTTCCTTACAACCTCTCACTTACTTGGGAACCAAGATAGACACAAATAACAGATGTGAATGGATGCTTTATTAATTACTATGCCATTCCAGCAGGGAACTTTTTCTCAGCTTATTTTCATAAGCTTCTCTCAGTAGAGAGTTACAGCATGAATCTTGACACATCAATCCTTTGAAATGCCTTACATAACAGAATGTAGTTAAACTAAATGTCCCCTGGTGCAGGGGATGTAGTATATAAAGGACACTTAAATTAACTGTCCTGATAGTGTCAGGATGCAGTGAACTTACATTTCACAGCAAAGATTAAGACATGTCAGCACAGGTGGCTATAGGACTGTTATGTTGTAATGATAGACAGTTAATTGTGATTCTTTTTATTTTTCTCAAACCATGTCTCTTACAATATAAAAAATGAACTAGTGCAACAAATAGAGCAACATTTTCACACTTCCTTTCCAATCCAATCATATTTCCTATATTTACACAAGAATTTAATTTATGAAAATCTCTACAAAATATACAGAAGGCAACTTTGAAATGTGTATTTGCTTGAAAAAAGTTATTTTCAGCAGGTCTGATTCGTATGTATTTCATAAGACTGGTAAACACCATAGCAATTTCCAACATTCTGAAGCAATACTGGATCATGGGATACTTTACTTTAGTTAGCCTGACTGTTTTACATCCAATGTTCTTTAAAGTATACATGGGCATACTCAGCTCTATGTATGTAAAAACTGATCCATAAAAATATAATTAATTCCATCATGAGAATAGGAATTTCAATATTTTTAAGTGTCTGACATTCAAGGCACTGAAATGCATCACTCTGAAACAATGTGATCCATAACTGCCTGCCAGTAATTTTAACATTACTTACTGTACTTTCAGAATAAAAAAAAATGGTAATTTCGGACAGTAACACAGGAGTAAATTAATGGTGTCGTGGATTCTCCAGTAATTTCATGTATGCCTGTGTTGGAGGGCAAATGTGTAATACATTTCCAATAACCTGACTTGTGGTTCTGAGTTTTCAGAGCTTGAAACAGGGTGATCTATGAATCTGTAACACAAAATTCAATAATTGAACCCTGCATTTAAGACACTTAATTCTGAAACTGAATATCATTAATTTGTACTTCTGATTTTCTCAATTATTCTCAGCATATTTTTGGAAAATATTTTAAAACAGGCCACTCTTGTTTTATACCCAATTCTCAACAGTACGCAATCCAAAATCATCGTATGTCATGAATATATGCAAAAGTGTAGGACATACAATTGTAGGACTTAATCTGTGTGGAACAACTGAGTAATCAGTTGGTAAAGTGCAGTGCTACTGTTCTTGACTGTGAAGGAAAAATTCTTTTCTAGGCATGAACTCATGTGGGATATTGTTGATAATTATTCAACTTTTAGATTTTAACCAAAGAAATACACATTCTCCTATTATATAAAACTTCACTTTATTATTGCCAAATTTATACAGAATATCATATTTGTAATTTCAGGGTATGTTTCCATATCCCCATTTCAAGCCCTGTGGTCATAAAATTGATAGCCATAAGCAATGAATATGTTCATGACATTCACTAGACATACATGTGTAAGATCAGGCACTTTTATTTGATGTCAAACAATTATAAGTATTCGTTTAGCTTAATCACCATCAAAGGCACTTTGAAACTCATGTTTTATAAGACATTCTAAGAAAATATACATTTTTTCTTTCATTTACAGAACAGCTGGGTTTTCAAAATTACATTAGGAAATGCAGGTACATAATATATTTAATAGAAAGTGCAGTTCATCTGTTCATACCACATACAAAATCACAACCTTGCATCTCTTTTGATGTGACTTCAGAATCTCTAAGTACAAACAACCACTCACCACCCAACTGAAGAAAAGCCATCTAATTTCATTGCCACAGGAAAACTGAATTAAGACAATACTAAAAGCTGATAACATGATACCTGGATGGATGGTAGCTAAACAAATTCCAAAGCACAACATAATCTACAAACTACTATTAACTGCAATGTATACAAGATCATTCTTTATTTGTATGTCACTGCATAAAGAGTCTGTGCAGTGTTGATAGATGACAAATGCCCTTCTCCTGCTATCTAGCCGCTGTCACTCTGTATTTCTCATGGGGCTTATCTTATTTTGGTGTCACTGAAGATGATATCTTGAGTATCACATAACTAATTCATCTCTTTGTGCAATGATTAAATCAGAATGCTGATTTCCATCTAACAATGGGACTGATTTTACCTGAATAATGCTTAGAATAAAATTTCAGACTTTTGTATAAATGTATAAATATATATCTTCTAATATACAATCTTAGCCCTAACCCTTAAAAAACAAATGAAATTATTTACATACATATGTACAGCAGGATTGGCTCATTGTATCTGACCGTTGTACAACCCCTACATTTGCTCAGTTACATTTCACGCTTTTATTTTTATGACCGACTACATTTGTTTTATATGAAATACTTAATGTTATAAATGTAATTCAAAATGTTTTAAGTGGTATGGATTTAAAATACAATTGATACAAATTTGAAGAAAGTCTGAATAAAATAACAGTGAGGAAAAGAGCTGGGATAGCTCAGTCAGTATAGCGATGGGCCGGGCTAGAGGCTGGGATGGCTGGAATTTGATTCTCAGTAAGGAAAATAGACTTTATCTTCTACCCAGCATCCAGACCATCTCTGGGGCCCACCCAACCTTCCTTCCAGTGTGTACCAGGGGCTCTCTCCTTAGGAGGAAAGCGGCCAGGGTTTTAAGCTGACCACTCACCATCTAGTCAAGAATGGTGGAGCTATACCTCCACTCCCTGGTAATTCTTCATGGCATGGTGCATAATTAAGCACAGGGACAAGTTTACCTTATCACAATGCTGAATACAAAAGATGAGAGGACATTCCAAGATTGATGTGATGGTAAGATTTATTTTTATAAAAAATATGTACTTATTCTAAATGTAATTTACATTAATTAAACCAAGGTGAAGGTAAAGTTGTGCCTGTGCTTAACTAATTAAGCACTATGCCTTGAAGGTGTATGAGGGAGTGGATGTATAGATCCACATTTTCTTGACCTCAACACTAGTCGGAAGTGAGTGGTCAACTTCAAGCCCCGGCCGTTTTACCCCCCAGGGAAAGAGCCCCCAGTATCCACTGGATAGGAGGTTGGGTGGGCCCCAGAGTCAGTCTGAATGACATGGAGAAATGAAAATTTTTGACCTCACTGGGACTCCAACTCTGACCCCTCAGTCGTCCAGCTAGTTGCTATACTGACCGCACTATCCCGGCTCAATTAAACCACGTGTCTTTAAAAATAAAGGTAAAGCCATTACTACGCTTAAGCATTATGCCATGAAGGCATATAGAGAGTGCAGGTATAAAGCCCTATGCTTTCTAGGACTGAGCACTATATGAAGCTTAGCTTCATGCTCTGGCTACCCTCTGCGTCCATTGGATTGGGGGGGGGGGAATGGACATCATAACCATCCTGAGCAAGATAGCGAAGAAAAATCCATGATGCTATTAGGAATCAAATCCTGGTCATCCAGCCCACACCCAGTCAATTCACTGACTATCCTGGCTCATTCTGATGACAACGCTGCGATGAATCATGAGTATACATATTGTAACAGGAAACACGTATGTAACTTATAAATACACTGATTTTTTGGCTTAAGTTGTGATCTCATGCAGTGACGGAGAGGACTGCATATGTTCTGGAGGAACATACTGCTTCTGGACACAGGTTAGAAGTGAGGAGAATGGATGAAGGTTAGCTTATATGGGAAACAGTGAGTATGAACTGGACTGCATATGTTTCTCCAAAACATCAGAAGCCTTTTCCACCACTGGTGGATGGATAGACGGACGGACAGACTGATATATGTTTGTACTACTGGCAAAAGACTGACATCTTACATCTTCATACAGTTTTTTACAGCTTGCAACACATTTTGCTGCTTTTACCTTGTGTGTTTCTGTATATTTGGTACTGGTAATGGTCAGTCATCAACAATATTAAGAATTTTTTTCTTTTACTTGGTGGTAGCTCATGTATATATATCATGAGATCTATTTGTAGGGATTGTGCAACAGAATGTTCATTAGATTATTCCGAGCTCTAACCATCACAAAGTCAGTCTGGATCCGCAAACTGATCATAAATGTGAGTAGTGATAACTCCATACACTATAATATATAAAGTTGGTGACAATCTCACACAGAATATCAGGAACAAATCAAATAAATATACAAATTATACAACTACATTACAATGAAACTCATTTATAAAATCTTATAAAAATGAATTAAAGAAACTGTCTCTTGTGCTAACATCTTGGCTATCTTCAGCTTCTGCAACACTAATGTCTGCATGAGGCACTAACAGCCACACTTAAGTTGTCACTGCCAAGTTGAAGTGTAATACAATAAGTGATATCACACAATGCACTGTTCTGTGAATAGCGTTGGTTGTATCCTCCAGTTCGTCACTGAAATATTCACATGGCTATTGTTCTTTCGAGATCATTTACTTAGTTGATGTGTCTGCCAGGAATGTTAGTCTAATATTGCAACTGACTCTTGAATTGAATAGTTACATTTCAAGCCAGGTTACATTGTGTTAGGTGTCTATATGCAAAAATCACAAGTACTAAGATCCTGAAATATGGGCCAAGTAGATGTTATTTTCTAGTCTGTAGGAAATGTTTATTTCTAAATACAAGCCATACTAACATAATCAGTTAATATCAGTATTTTTATTTATCGTCACTGTATCATGACAGTTCATTATTTCATCTTTTGGTTGTGAAACATTAATTGATGATGGATATAAACTAAAATGGCAAGTTCTGAACTTTGACAACATTGCACTTAACCCAAATGCACAATGAGAAAATAAAGTTAAAATGTAAATAGTAAATCATATTTAAATTAAAACTTTTATTTTTTATGGCAATTGTGTAAGCATTATTATGAAGGTACATGTACGTGTTTCACACTATCACTGTAAGCACATCACCACCCCCTCCACCATTTCGTTCCCCTTGAGGAGGTTGTAACGTCCTTTGCACTGGTGGAAGTACCTTGAGATTAATGATACGTTTAGCGAAGTCTTTATGGGCTCCTGCATCATCAAATGTGGCTGCAGTGTTTTTTCTAACATCTGGACTCTGTGCTTTGAAGAGCAAGATCTGGCTACTTCGATGCGCTGAGTGCAGGCGAGGCTGAGGGTCAGAACTCTGACTGGGCATGCTCTTCCCCAGACCAGGCGTTACAGCATCATCCATCAGTTCCAGCATTTCTGCTCCACCCCCTGTTCCTAGTGGTTCACCAGGGCCTGCAGTGGATGACAGTGGTCTTACAACACTAACCCGTGGCAGATCCGACACTCCGGAACCTTCAACACCTGGTCCTACTCCAGGTCCGACTTTACTTGTGGTACCTCCCATCACTGCTGACCCAGCTTCGTCTTTTAATGGGTTTGCATACCGCCGCAAGTTCTCTTCATTCTGCAGATTGTTGGACTTCTCATCATCATGGTGCCGATGACAGGGTCCTCCTACGGAAGTTGAACCTGCCAGAGATCCTGCTCCATGTCTTCGTCTCAGCATCTGATGCCAGTAATATAAACCGCCAACACCGACAGCAAACAGGATGATGAGAATTATGCAGATAAGTGCTATTAAATATCCATTACCTGAAAATAAATTGTTTGCTTTTTCAACACAGCACACTGAATATTTCCTCCTTTCCTCTTCTTAACTACAAGGCCTGTGGTATTTTCAATCTACAAACTGAATCAGTCATACAGGTTCCAATAGTCGGTTCTAAAGGGTTCTGATGATAGCGTATAACACTTAGAATTATTGAGCTTTTGGACTCTGCTTATCATCTTATATTCTAAAAGTAGGTTTTTGCAAACTGGACATGTTTTCATCCTCAGGTGAAGGTCGAGCCATAGCTCAAGCAGTTAGTTGCTGGCTTCCCACTGCGGTGGCCCGGATTTGATCCCGGGTCTGGTCAAGTGGGATTTGTGGTGGACAAAGTGGCGCTGGGGCAGGTTTTCTCCGAGTACTTCGGTTTCCCCTGCCAATCTTCATTCCACCAATTGCTCCACAATCACCCTCACCTATCATCTGGGGCTGGTACAATAGGCCAGAAGTGGCCGCAGTATAAGGGGCTTAGTCCCACCCCATTAACAATAAAAAAAATCTTGTATTCCAAGAAACTTATCCTCAGGTGAAATGTGAAATGGTGGGAGGCACCTACTGTGATAGGTCCATTAGAAATAGATAACCTCTGTCACTAACTGCCTTTTCTGTTTCAGCATTGAGTAGTTTCCATTTGACACAGGATTAGAATATTTTTCAATACAGGCAGGTTTCTGTTTAGTCAGTTGTGAACGCGTTACATATATGAAGTGTTCCATCTTCGTAAGAATGATGCCATGTGGCTTGGTGAAAGCAAATGAGTATTTTTGGGGAACACATCAACTCCATCTTCATGGTCAATCAGAAAGCCAAGCAAGAAACCAGCAGAAGCAGGTGGCAAGCCAGTGAAGGCTTTCACCGTCAACTTTACGGTAAACCGAATGGCTAGACAGCTCAGTGGGAATACAGGAAAGTATGCTGATGTTGGGAAAATAACTGCTTGAGAGTAATGTTGGCAGGAGTGGGTGGGAATATAATCCACGGAACTTCTTTCTCTGATTCTGTGATTGAGATAGCTGTTTCTAATGAACCCCACAGAGTAGATGTCTCCCATCCTTTCACCTAAGAACAGGAACAGATCAGTTTTTAGAATATCTGATGATGGTAAGCCAAAAAACTCAGTAATCCATAGATTCTACTATGCAGATGCATCATGACCCACTTCGTGTAGTGCTTCAAGACTGGTTCTCCACTGTGTGCAACGCATAGGTGGAAAACAATGCAAAATATTTTCTAGTTGTGTACTCCTGTAAATAATGTTAGTCCTTGTGCCCAGAAAATACACACACACACATATATATAATTATGTTACTGTGTTATTTTATCTGCAAGCATAAATTTTACTTTGTAACTGTAATTCTGTAACAGACGTTTTGTGTTTTCATGATAAAATATATATTTTCAAATATTAATGCCAGTAATGAGACAAAATAGTAATTTAAATTGCCTCATAAGAATGGTAACTTATATCGTGCTTGTAAATACATTCCTTCTGAAACACAAGGTTTAGACTTGCAAGGCAGCTACATGAAATAAATGGGGGCTATCAGAGACCTGAATGTCACAAACAAGCTACTGTGTTCAGAATGTGCAGGTTTACCTTGTTTTTCCTCACTAATGAGTGCAGTCTCAACTTTTACTTCCACAATAGACGTGAGAGCTGATAGGTTGGTTTGCTTCCGGCTGATAAATTCTCCCAGGACCCGGATCCCTTCTATCACTGCTCGATTTTCTTCTGGACCTGATGTAGGTGACAATGATGACTGTGGATTTCACATAAATTTGTAAGTAATTAGTAGATGTTCTTTGAAATGGCAGAATGTTATGCTCATATTAATAATTATCTACTGCATTTACCCAAACTAATAATAATTTTGTGGCTTTAGTCTGCAAGTGAACTATACTGACCAAGCGACCGCCGCTTGTCGGTGAAGTTAGTGCCAACTTAAGCAGATAGAGGGTGTCACGTGGTCAGCGCAGTGGATCCCCACAGCCGTTAATCTCGGTTTTCTAGACCGGAGTATTTACCCAAATCTAAGACAATATGTCTTACATTTACTAATAATCAATTTAAAAAAGTTAAAATTTAAGATAAAGTTGTCCCTGTGCTTAATTAATTAAGCACCACATCATGAAGACATACAGGAAAATGTAGGTACAGCTTCAACATTCTTACTCATGGTGAAAGATGGAGGTAAGTGGTCTTACTTACATAAGATTAAACCTATAAGCCTCAAATTGATTAGCTGGGTCTGATTCAGAATGTAGTTGCATACTGGTTGTTTTCTTTTAGAGAGCGTACCTAGGCAGCCTGTATTACCCTCTGTATGTACCAACTACGGCCAAGCATATACTTCGAGTTGAAATAAATTGTTATAAATTATATGCACATGGCTATTTAGAAAAGCCGATACCTCGACCCAAGCAGACGGAAATTAAACAGGCTATAAAGACTCTGTTTCAAATCATCCTTCAAAACACATGCCAGGTCAGTGCTCCTCCACTCAAAAAAGTACCAGGATACCACCCTAGATTGCCCTGGCTCAGTTATAGCTCTGGTAACAACACCATTCCCACAAGAGAAATAATTTATTCTTGAAATTAGATGGTCATAGTTGTAATGGCTATGGTACAGTATATACATGTCTACCATATTATCAATAGAATAGATATTTATATAACTAGTACATGATATTCCCAGCTACGTGCTCAAGCCAACAGAGAGAGGACAGGAAGCATAGCCTGGGTCAATGCACAGATTATGCTGGAAGCAGTAAACTAGGAAACCATATAATAAGTACTAATTACCATGGTAACTTCAAGTGTATCATTGTAGCCTTGCTTCAAATCACAAAGCAGGACAAGGCGATGAGAAGCACTGATGGATGCCTGATGGGAGGCCACAAGATGACGAAGTTCCATGCAGAGGCCCTCAGTGGTAACACCATGTGGGAGCTGAGCTTTGTCTAACAGCAATGTAAGTCGAGCACAAGAGTTGCTGAGTACTGCTTGGTTTGGCCAGCAGGTTGGAGGTGCAGGTAATGAGGGTGGTCCCACGCGCTTTCCACTCTCCAAATCACGGCACTCCCCCCATGGTGCACAGGATGGTGTGAGGCATGCTTCACGAGGTGATGGTACACACACCTGAGCAAAATATGTCAAGTTCTATAATTCAAACTGCTTTCAAATCTGTTATTATTATTATTATTGTTGTTGTTGTTGTTGTTGTTGTTGTTGTTGTTTACATTTCTGCATTAATGTGCTTTTCCTCCAGTGCTTGCATGTAATTTGTCTTTGACTTTATGTTGTGATTGTCCATAATGTAATTACTTGTACCTACAATGTGCTGTGTTTGTAATTGGCCTTGCAGCTGTTGACTCGGCACATAAATAATAAAGAATTGAATTGAATTATTATTATTATTATTGTTGTTATTATTATCATTATTATTATTATTTAAACTGAATACACATTTACATCACATTTTATTGCTTTCGTAGATTTTCACCAAAATGTAATTTATAATGCCATTGACCTTTCCTTCTTTTTATCTTTCATTTGTCAAACTTCAGAAACACAATCCTACACTTGTTGAGGGGGGAAGGGGGGTGGCATGCACATGAATCTGTAGAAACACTGATGAAAAATTAGACTATCCAATTACAATCTGAAATTCCACCTTGTTATTGCTGCTTCTCACATCTGAAAGTGCACCACTACTTCCCCTAGGTACTATTCCAGTACTGTATTAGGCCATAAAGTTATTTTGATTCTTAATTTATTTAACAATGCTCTTGTGAGAACCTCCCACAGTGCACTGAAAACAAGCAATATTTATACATCACTTTCAGCCCGGTCCCTTACACACCAACACAAGCGCTATCCAATCAGCACTCATAATTGCAGCTCCATCGCCAACTCTGCCCAGCGGCAATGGTATAAAAATGCGGGCCTCCAACTGGCTACCATCAGTCCATAAGTCAGAGCCATCGTAGCTACGCTGATGTCATGAAGCCGCCACTGCCGTAACTCTCTAGTAACAGCGCCAGTCAACAGCCGACCCTGCCAGCGCGAGGCCAGCTTGGACGCCGCAGCCTGCAGCGTGGACTACGTCTCCAAGGCTGCACCCAGCCAGTGCTTGCTAGCATTGGTGTCTAGGGGACCGGGCTGAAAGTGATGTATAAATATTGCTTGTTTTCCATGCGCTGCGGGAGGTTCCCACACTCTGACAGCTGCACAGACTATGGTCAGTTTAATGTGATGATGACTGAAAAGGCTGTAGCTTATTTTAAGGTCCTCTTTCAGCAACTGCGTGAAGTGTGTAAGGAAACCATGATAATATAGATGACCTATGGGCACAGGACTGAACATAAGACCTTCAAAATGTGTAAGCCATATTATGATTTTGGTATGTTGGAATGGCTCGTGTTACATATAATTACAGTAAGATAAAACTGAACATTGCTGGCAGAAATGAGGGCTAGATAGGTTAGAATTATATGAGCATGACTTATTTTTCTGTTCCTGTACCAGATCTTTCATAAGTATGCTAAAATTGGTAGTCTTTGTAAGACAGGAGAAGTCACCATATTTGTTGCTTACACTGGTGTACTATGTGTGTTACTTTGTAAAATTTTCATTGGTTTCAGACTTAGAACTGTACTCTCAAAGTACAGAAATAGGTGTAGCACATTCCACTGTTCCAGCACTTACCTGATTTGACTGGCAGACAGTAGAGCCCAAAGTGAGGTTAGGATGACCAAGACAATTCCCTAAGCCACACCACACTTGTGTGCAACTCACTGCAGAAGCTACACATGAGCATGTGTTACAGTCATGCTGCCAAGTGGCATTGTTCGCAAAATACTGTCCTTTCCATAGACATGCCCCTCGTAGATATGCCATTTCTTCCACTAAAACAACAGAGAATGTGCTTGAAAACTTACACAGTAAAATATGTAAAGTGATAAGGTAATGTTGTCCCTGTACTGAATTGAACACTATGCAATGAATCTGGGGATTGAAGGTAAAGCTCAATGCATTCTTAACCTCAGTACAAGATGGAGGTGAATGGTCAGTTTCATGCCCCAGCCCCTCTACTCCTAAGGAGCGAGCCCCAAGTACCCATTGGGTAGGAGGGTGGATGGGCCCCAGAACTGGTCTGGATGTTGTGGAGAAGAGAATATCACACCAACTGAGTTATCCTGGTTCCTTGCAAACACAACTACAAGTTTTAAAAGTGGTGCCACTTTCGATGACTGAAGTGAATGTACTGCCATTTGTATCACAGTAGAGCATGAAGGAGTATTTACAGTAATAACTACGGATGATGGCACTTGTTGAAGTTGGGAGAACACTGCCAGACAAACTACAGACAGCAATGGAAATGTGAAAATGCAAGCAGAGGACTGTGAACACAGTGGTGAATGCCATTTTGTGGACAACCTTTTCAAATAATGAATGAATGCTTGGAGGTATATTATGATGCTGTAAAGATGATAAAGGTCTTTTTCAGTTATCTCATTTTTAAAATCAATAATTATTTTTGTCTGACTCTTTATACTATAACACTAACTACAGTTTGCAGACCACCAGTTCAAACACTAATTTGAATAACAGGATATGTTCTAGGACAGCAGTTCACAACCTTCTATATCTTTCATTTCATCTGAAATTTTGTCAAAAGACCATAGTCCAGTCACAGCAAAAATAAAACCTTACAAAAAATTATTTTCACAATTATGTACATTTTTGTAATATATTAATTATTAATGGAAGTTCATATTTTTGAGACCCCATGCCCCACCCAGTCAGCCATCCCTCCAGAGGGATGTGCTCCACTGGTTGAGAAACACTGTCCTAGGAAATGATATAATGTGTTATGTATAGTTTATTCCATTAAAAGTAATGCTTACCTTCTTCACAGCGAACACCTTTACGTCCAGGTGGACAGACGCAGCTGAACTTGCCAATGCCATCTACACATGTGCTTCCAAATCCACAAGGATTAGAAGCACATTCATTAATGTTAATTCTGCAGTCTGGTCCTGTAAATCCTGGTGCACATTCACACAGGAACCAGTTAATCCCATCTACACATTTCCCACCATTAAAGCATGGTGGTGGATTACAGTCATTTATGTCATGTTGGCAGTGTTGGCCTTCAAAGCCTTCTTTGCAGATGCATGAGTAGAAGTCACCAGTATTGACACATGTGGCACCATTCTGGCAAGGATTAGATTTACATGCATGTGATTTGGCTGAAAAGGAGCATAAGAAATATCAGTACATGCAACATATTTGTCAACATTATAAATTTATATTCTTATCATTGAACTGGAGTATCTCTACTCTACCTGTGCATAAAATGAGGAAAATTTGTTTGGTTGTCAGAAAAATATCATAACATGTAACATACTTTACAACATTACAGATTTGTTCTCTTACAAATGAACTGGAATATCTATACAGTACCAGTACACAGAATGGAAAAATTTGGTTAATGGATCATTTTGCTTAATAAAAATTGGTTAATTTTGAAAGCTTTATATCCACACAAAAGTTGAAAGACCCTATAGAGAATCCTGTCATTGTTATTTCCACTTCACATGCTGCATCTTGTTACTGATTATAGGAAGTTAAAAGCAGTGATAAGGAAAGGTCTCAAGTTGTATGAATTCATATTCATTTTCTTTTAAGATCTGTCAGTGTATGTAACCTTGATGTCTGTATGTAAATCTAAAGGACATCCATCTGCAGCTCAATAATAAGATCCCAAACAATGTCATTTTTTCAGAACCCTAAAAGTGGAAAAATTTGATCTCACTTGTAGCACAAAATAATTTATACTTTAATAACTCAATATTTTATTTTACTCTTCTGTTATTTTTAAAATAATAGGAACTTCACATTCTTATGCGCATGCATTTAATGTAATTAAGACAGTTTAATTAAGTTCAGAAATTCTATGAGCTGTGAAATACAGTTATTTTTCTGTTCTTCTTTATCTGAACTATATTCACATATTTTCATTTTCAGTTCCAAATGGCTGAAAAACTCTGGCCGAACTTATAAATCTTATAATTAGTGAAATTTATGAACTGAATTTTCTTGGTAATGTAATAGATTTCAACAAATGTTCCCGCAACTCACCAATATGACATGTAGTGCCTTCCCATTCGAGGGGGCATCTGCACACATAAGTGTCCCCCAAATCCTGGCAGGTGCCACCATTGCGGCAAGTACTTCGGTCACAGTGACTGTCTTTCAGGTTACAAGTTTTCCCTTTCCATCCATCACGGCACGTACACAGGAAATCAGCTATGCTATCTGTGCAGCTCCCATTATTCCGACATGGGTTGGGGGAGCATTCATCCTTATCTGTAAAATTACATGAATAGCTTTTGTGATACAAATAGTTTTGTCATGTTATGAAATGTTAACTCAGAATTTACTTTTAAACTGCTGCAAGGTGGGATCAGTGCTTATAACCATGTGAAACATTATATCAAAATAGCTTTAATATACCTGTATCACTGTCATCCAGTGTCTGAGATACATATAACATACAGGCCCAATTCTGTCTTCAGGTGACTGGTTATCATCATAAATGAAATGACATACACTCTTGTTATTTTATATTTTCAATATGAATGGTAGTGACAGGTTGAAAATATTTTACAGTAAAGTGGAAAATACATTATTTGGGTATAAGACACAAGAATTTAAGGGATGAAGAAAGAACATAATGCCAGGCTTCATAATTTCTACTTTTCACAGATTATTGTTAGGGTGATCAAAGAGGATGAAATTGGATATTAGCATGTATGAGGGATATGAGAAATGCATAGTTTTTCTTGTACCTGGATACCTGAAGGGAAGAGACCACTTTGAAGACTCAGACATATATGAAAGAATATGTTAAGTGGATCGTAAAGAAATAAAAGTGTGTGGACATGGAATGGGTTCAGTTGACAGGTTAGAATCTGGTGGTTGGCTATAGTAAACAGCAAAGAACCTTCCCTTTTCATAAATGGCAAATTATTTCTTTTCCAGCTGAGCAGATAATCAAGGACTCTGTAACATTGCGTTTAATTAGTGGCAATGATCAGGACTGAACCTGGTATCCTGTATTCCAACTACTAGACCTAATGGTACTTCCTTTGTGATTAATTCTAATTCACTGTACATAATATCATATCACATACTGAGTCATTCTTACATAACATGGAAGCCACTTTATTATTGCCGAGTTACAACACGTACAAATTAAAATACCTTAATTACAGCATCCTTCAGTTGTAATTTTTATAACAGGAAATGTTTTTTTTATAAGGACTCTACACAACCCAATTCCCATACGGTCACTTTTATGGGGACCAGGGGCCATGCGAACATTGCCATTATCATCAGCAATTTGTCACTGTAATTCTGTTACATGTTTTGTTAATATCTTTCCTCTAATTTAATGTTCTGGTTGAAGAAACTGCCATTAGTTCCACTACAAATTAAATGCTGTAAGAAACACCTGAAATTATGACAGCTATAATAAATGGAACTTTATTAAGTAGCAGCACTAAATTCTTCTGTATTATTAGTGCTTGAAGCTTGTTTATTAATACAAAAACTAATATCTTCGTCAAGGTTTTCTTTTGCTATATCAGAAGAGGAAAAGTGAAGGACTCTCTTCCAAGTAGCTTCAAAATCAGTCCACATTTCTGAAACAAACAGCTTAACTAGCATATGGAAGAACCAAGCGGCCTCCGTAGTCTAGGGGTAATTTTCCCACCTCATGACTCAAGGTATGTGGGTTCAAACCCGGTGGAGGTCGTGGAATTTTTAAGGGCAGAAAAATTCAGGGAACAAGTCCTCCAAGAGGGACTTTAAGCCGTGGGTCCCGTGTCGTAGATTTACAGCACGTAAAAGATCCTCATGTCTCTAGGAGACCTCTGAGCAAAATTAGGCAACACATTTCCCGCCCAAGTAGTTTCCAGTGCCTCTGGTAGAGGGGGGAAATATCAGGTACCGAGGGCTGACCTCGTTGGCTGAACAGGGCTGATAGCACGCACCAGTACCAGTAGGGTATGGCGACGGTAGAAATTAAAGGATGACACACAATGAACCAATAACTGGTCTAAGTGCAGGGGAAACCCACCCCCTCTAATAATAATAATAACAACAAATAATATGGAAGAACCATGGGTAATTGTACTTCTTCACAAATAATTTCACAACAATATTATTCATTAAACATTCTTAATGCACACTGTTAAAATGTGAGAGAAATATTGGTAAAGAGCACATACTTAAAGCTTAGTTTACCATACAGATATATCTTTATGTAATTTCCTATAGAATGATTCTAGTAACGTCACTTCTAAATGGTTTAAACAAGTGAAAGGTTCAAGAAGTGTGTCTCTTTTCCAGACTAAAGTAGTTTTCCAGGAAAACTTGTTCTGAAATATTCTTTAAAATTTCACAATCCAGGAAAGATAATCTTATCTGGGTATCATGAAACTCAGAACTGTATAATAGATCTAGTACATACTGATGCCGCAGATTTCACCTTCCCAGCCTTCTTTGCAGATACACTGATAAGAATTAACTTTATCCACACATGTACCTCCATTCTGACAGGGGTTCAGCTTGCAGTCATTGATATCTGCAATGGATAGGCAACACACAAATTAAAATTATGTAAAAGAAGAAAAAAGGGAGGGAAGTGATTCAGGGTAGAAATTACAAATTTACTTTCCAATTGCGTAGACTTCAAGTTTTTAATAAATCTTTTACTCTCAATGATTATTTGTGTAATATAAGTTTATACTACATTAAAATTCATGTTTCCTCATCTGACTACTTCCTATAGTATGATAAATGTTTACAAGATTGTTTAGCACTTGGCACAGAAATTGTGTATCTGTAACTGTAGATGCAATTCCAGAGGCAACTCACTTTCATGGCAGTACTTCCCAGTGTAGCCTGGGTCACAGGAGCATCTAAAGCCTCCTCCAGGTTGGCTGACACAGCTCCCATGGTCTCCGCAAATTCCTGAAGAGACTAACACTGCTCCACTGTTAGTTGCATTAGATGGTGCTGGAACTGTACAGCTATCAACCACTGCAATGTGTTATAGAAATTTATTATTGCACTTTTGCCACTTATGTAACCAACAGCTCTAATAATGTGTAAATAAGTATGTGTCACGTTAACAGCTTCCATTTATTACAATCTTGCAGTTGTTGTATTCATTGTATGTAATATTCCTTGCATCTTTTTTATTTTCTTATTCACATACTGTACTTGTGACTGCTTTTCCTGTACCTTTACTAACCAGACATATGGTCTAGTGGTTAGCACTCCTGCTCCATATTTAGGAGGATCTAGGTTTGAATCTTAGTTTTGAGATCAACTGTTACAAGAGTTTTCATGGTTTTCTTCAGTCCCTTCAAGCAGAAGTTTGACTAGAATCGTAAAATATGCCATGGATCAACATTCTTAACGTATCATTTGGCACTACGTAACCTGTTTTGTTGTGAACGCACAGTTATATGTACAAAAATCTATCAACTGGCTGAAGACTGTGTCCAGTGATGGACAGCAGAGCCTTCAGCTTCAGTGAAATAGCTCTTGTAATTGTCTATAGTTGCTTATTACCTTCACTTCTCACCCGTCTAGGTATCTGCATAAATTTAACTAATTTCACCCATCTCACTTTAAGAACAAAGTTTAAATTATTGATATTTTATGGTGTTACATAATTTTATGATACTTTTGAAGGCAGCGATAGACAGAAAGACTTCCATGTTAGATGACTCATATAAAAATGGCAGCATTGAATAATAACGCTGATGCAAGTGGCTTACTGAGAGAAAAGGCGTAAAGTACTGTGATCAGTTTCAAGAAATTATCCAAGCACTTTAAGGAGGAATTGATAAAAACTGAAAAATTTAAATCTTCAGATTAGCCCAAGTAAATGAACGATTTACTCCCGTAATAAAGAGAAAATATTAAAATATATACAATTGTTTTAACTAAGCACTATGCACATTTCAGTGTTTAACCCTTCGAAAATATGATCGTACTGGTATAGTGAATACAAGCGTGCGGCAGAGAGTATTATCATACCCATATATTACGCATTTCTTGTATTTGAGGGCTATAACAAGGTTGAGAGGGGTACGCAGTAGCGTAGTTGGTTGAGGGGCTATGCTACAAGCCGGAAGGTTGTGGGTTCAAGTCCTGATGAGGTCATTGGATTTTTTCAATCCTTCCAGCCGCACTATGACCCTGGGGTCGACTCAGCCTCTAACAGAAATGAGTACCAGGAATTAATTAAACAATTTTCCTGGGGAGTAAAGCGCGGCCAGCACATAAGGCTGACAACCTCACAGCCATCTTTGAGCCAATTGTCTAGATAATGTGGGAGCCTCAACGTCTCACAACCCTATGGGCCTTCACAGCCTGTTACAGGAATAGCTTTACTTTTTTTACAAGTCTGAGTGTTTTGAGAGCATTTCCCACCTCCTAGAGTATGTTCCAGTCAACGGATGCATACAGTGGACACTAGCATGTTACAGACAGTACATATTCAGGTCCTGCTATGCAACAAAACCCCCTCTTAAAAGGGGGTTAAAACAATATTTCTGATAGGATTTACACCTTTATTTATGATGTAGCAGAATTATGAATCATATCCCTCATTTCTTAATTCGTATGGTGTACTTTCATGTTATTGGCCATCTTATGTAATGCATGGGATTAAAATGGAAGGAAATACATATGAACTTCTGAATTTTTACTATATTTCACTCACTATAAATTTTCCATTAAATTTATGGAATTAACATTCAGAAAAGATCAAACTTCCAACTGAAGGTAACAACAATTTGAGTACCTGACAAAAATGTAATTCATTTATGCTGTCCGATTAATTACATCTGACTGACTGAACAACCTTTGAGTAATTTAATCCAGAGTTTTGATACTCAAATATTGCTTGAACATAATTTTGAGTCAATTTCATCCACATACCATCCTCACTACCTATTTCCCCAAGATCAATCTTATTGTTATCCCTCTAACTCCTTAGTCTTCCAAGTGGCTACATTACCTGATATTTCTCCAGAATTTCTGTAGGTATTTCTTTTTTCTCCCATTTGAACTATAAGTCCAGCCCATCATAACTTTCTTGATTTCATTATCCCAACAATACTATATAAAGTTCAATTTATTGTTGGTTGTACCTAATTTGTAAAAATGTTGGGAGCGCATTGCCAAGGGATACACATGAATCCTTTCATAAACAGATAATATTCAGCTGTTTGAAGAACCACATACCTGGTCTTCTAGCATTCACAAAAAATATTTTCATCAGTGATCCTTTACCAGTGACAAACTCCATGAATGTAATGATTTTTTAAAACAGCTGACAGTGTAACTTACAGATACATTTGTTGATATAAGCTGGGATTTGCCAAGTCCATCTGTTCTTATTAAGCTTTCAAATAAAGTATTCTTCCTATAAGTAAAATATCAGTTAACTGTACCTTCACACGGAGGGCTGCTGCACTGCAGTCGAGGCAAGCTACAGTTCTTTCCCTCCCAGTCTTCAGGACAGTGACAATAATAGTCTGCTTGTGTGTTAAAACATGGAGCATCATTTTCACACGGATTTGGACTACAGTGATCATGGTCCACCTGAAAGATGCAAAATATAGTTTTATCCAGATTATCTTATTAAAAATGGTTAATATTCATTTGCAGTAAAGAAGCGTTACAAAATGAGCAAATTTGTTGGGGAAAAAGAAGTGAGCATGAATAAAAACTGATATTTGAAATGTCTTTTGTGAAATCTAGGAAGATATTTCTGAAAATCTCACTTATTTTCATCACAGGAAATAATATCAGCAGAGGTTAAAAGTGACAAGAATGATCTCATATCTCTCACAACATAGTAAGATGTAACTTAAGGTGATCATTCAGTGTCATCCTTTTACATCATGAATCATACTGACACCATTACAGAGAATGACGTTAGCATTTTCAGTCTGCATAATACCATACTGTCTCATTAAAAGGCTATGAATTTTCTAAGGATAATTTATATTTACATATGGGATGAATAATTAAAGAGATTTAAAGGGAAATAATTAGCTAAGCATGACTGACTGGATATCTAATAATGCCATAAGATTCCTTTAATGGAAAGAAAAAAACATTATTCATGATGAAATGAAATATGGATTGAATGTGTGAAATGCTTACTGCTCTTCACTTCAGAATCTTCTCAACTTATATCTACACCCTAAGGGAAGAACTTAACGATTCAGGATTTGAAAACAAAATGCTGCAGAGAATTTTTAGAGCTAAGAAAGGGGAAACATTCATGACTGCAGAAAATTACATAATGAGAAGCTTCCTAATCTCACTCTAAACGTAGTATCATATAGGATGGTTAAATTGAGGATGATTATATGAGCACTGATACTTGCATTAGCAAATTTGATTTGAGAACTTAAAGTGAAAAACTAGATGTAGATATGGTAGTATTAAAATGGATCTAAGGTAGATGTTAGCTGACTTGAGCTCGCTAACGAAAGGTCAATTTTGTGGATTTTTTAAAATACAGTGATGACCCTCCATGTTCACTAAAAGGGCCAGGAATTTCTTAATGAGCTGAATAAGGATCATCTGTGCAAGAAATTTTAAGAAGGGAATTTTTTTATTGCTAGTGGGGTGGGACTAAGTCCCTTGTACTGCGACCAGTTCTGGCCCATTGTACCAGCCCCAGATGATAGGTGACGGTGATTGTGGAGCAATTGGTGGAATGAAGATTGGCAGGGGAAACCGAAGTACTCGGAGAAAACCTGCCCCAGCGCCACTTTGTCCACCACAAATCCCACTTGACCAGACCCGCAATCGAACCCAGGCCGCTGCAGTGGGAAGCCAGCGACTAACCGCTTGAGCTATGGCGCGGCCCTCTGGATCTGTAGCCAGGAACTCTGACCACTAGAGGCGGTCAGGTGAAACAGAAAAAAATATATAATCTTTTATACAGATTTATATGAGACTTGAGGCTTTCATGGCAGTCTATGTAGTAGTCAGTGGGTAAAGATGGTGAAATTTTGTGTGCTGGTCTCTCTAGATGTCAGTAATTTTTACTATTCAAATAAAGTGCTAAGACTCTGCAATGAGTAGCACAGATGTGTTCACAATCCTGAAAGTGTTGGATGGTAGTAGAATGGATAATCTGTACATAGGATGTGAGGCTGTATAACCTGTTAGATGGGAATCATGTTTCAGAATAATTTACTGCTGTCATCTGCAGGATAGAAGGATGCTGGTAACTAACTACCAAGTTACAAAGCATCATATCCCAAAAGAATCACTTTTGTGAGAACCTAAGATATCATACAAGATGTGAAAATTTTGTGTGCTGACCATGAGATCAATTATACAACTGGTTCATATTTTTAAATAGAAAAATAACAGTTCAGTCTATTCACCTACCTCACACTGGTCACCAGTAAACCCCACAGGACATATGCAGCGGTAACCATTCACTTGATCTGAGCATTCTCCCCCATTACGGCATGGATTGCTTTCACAGTCATCAATGTCAGTATGGCAGTCACGACCTGTGAAAACAACAGTTTCCTTTCAGATCATTGATATTTTGAGATACTTATTTGGAACATCACTTTATGGTATAATTTTTATTGGTTTATGTAATAATGCTTTATCAACTTATACAGAATGTCTCAGAAATTAGCACAATAAATTGGAGGGTGAGTACTATAGGCCAAACAGTGAGAACATTTTATATAAACATGGCTCCAGAAGCGCTTCAGTAATGAACTACAGCCATCTGAATATGTTCTTGACAACAGCAGGTAGTAGAACTTTTATTATGAAAGTAACTTAAGCAGTAGGACAGTAGACCTTACGTTAAACATTTGTAAAAACAAACACTGTTAGTAATAAAAGAGTTCTGGTCAAGAAATAATGCAACAATTGACTAAAGGTATAGTGTTCTTATGGCATTCCAGTGACATGAAGTAACAGTTATACCTGTTACAGCAGATGCTCTAAATCAGCCCTGTCCAACACGGCGCCCGTGGTACATTTTTCTGGCGCCCTCCATAACCACATATAATTGAGCCGATTTTTAATATTAATTCAAATTGTAAGACAAGAGACATTTTTGAACGTCTGAGTACTGTTAAATATTTTGGAAAAATTGTATTATTATTATTATTATTATTATTATTATTGGTAGTAGTAGTAGTAGTAGTAGTAGTAGTAGTAGTAGTAGTGGTGGTGGTGGTGTGGTGGCACCCACACCTCCAGAGGCATCAGTGAATTGTGCCCGAGTACATAATGACGTTGGACAGCACTGAAATGTTGACCTTGCATTGTCACATAAGCTTCAAACCAATGATATCAATGAATATGCTGAAAAGTGCTAGAAATTTTGTGAACCACTGTTTCTAACATATGCTATTTTTGTAATCTAAGGTCTACTATCCCACTGTTGCTGAAAATAGCTCTGAGTGGATCTGCAGCATTATGAATTATTTCTCGATTAATATTCATACAAGCTGATTTAATTGTTTTGGACTATAATACTCATCTTAGAATTTTCCACACTTATTTCTGGATTTGATTCAGAAGTAATTATTTTATAAGAAATACACATCAAGATATGGGGAGACAGACTTATGTAGTCGAATCAAAATATACAAGTGAGGAAGTTTGCACATCTGCTTGACCTTTGGTACACTGATGTGTATGAAATGTAAAAAATAATATACCAATAGAGCAATATTAAAGTTCATAATAAAGAAAATCAAAGTAACCCTGTAGAAATTGTAGTATTTACCTGTGTATCCTGGTTGACAAGCACAATGGTAGTCATTGACCAAGTCAATGCAAGTAGCTCCATGTTGGCACTGCCCCACACAGTCGTTGATGTTATGGTCACAGTTCTTTCCAGCCCAGCCCTTTTGGCATTTGCAACGATAGTCCCCAACCAGATTTTGGCATGAATATGCATTGATGCAAGGTCTTCCCTGACATTCATCTGCATCTGAAAATATTAACCAACTTATTTTATACAGTCTATGATATGGCTGGATGAAATAACATCAGTAAAACTTGCTATTCAGTTTCTGAGTTTTAAACAGAAACATAACCTAATTCCATGGAGCAGAGTCATTCTTGAAATGCTGATAATCACTTATCTGGACAAGAATTTCAACATCTGATATGGAACCACAAAGAATTTTACAAAATGTGAGGCCCTCTGATATATTTTTTACATCCTCAGCTTTTAATTGTTGGGGTATGCCAAACACCCTGCTTTTCTAACTGAAATTGTTTATGGATTTCTTGTATCCTCCATACATGCCACATGCCCTGACATCTTATCATGCTTGATTTTATGACCCTAATAATATTTCGTGAAGAGAATAAATTATAAAGCTCCTCATTATGTAACTTTCACCCTTAGAGAGGGAGAGAGAAAGGGATCACAAAAAATAATAAAATCTTAACAAATACGAACATTTAACAATAAATGAGATCAAAATCATAAATCCAAAGTGACCAAGAAGCTCATTTTACTGTAATAATTCTGGGTTTAAGAAAGCATTCCTCCCCACATATATTCTCTTCAGCAATGTGGCTTGAAACACCTTCAGTCTGCGTTCTTTCCTTAATGTGAGGGACCAAGATTCACACCGAGGCAAAACAACACGTAAACTGACAGATGTGTGTGTATTTGAATTGTTATATGTTTAGACGTGAGATGGGAAGACTTAAGGATTTTGAACAGAATTGCAGCAAGCTTTCACAAAATTTAACCTGTCTCTACTTTCTTCACAAATGTAACAGTGAAGTCTGAAAACAGGTTTCCTCTCCTCTTGAATGCAGGAAGAATGGCTTGTGTGTGCACATGTGTTGAGTAACTGTCTTAATTTCATAACTGGTGGAATTACTGCTATTTACTCCTATTATGTTAATGATAACCATATTGTATTAATGATAACAGACATTCAGTTACATGCCAACAGCAATATGCTTAAGCAGAAATTGACTACTTGGAGCATATTTGGTACTAGGGAATTTGTATATACATGTTGTACCACAGAACAGGCAGTTAACTGCTGACATATCAATAGATATTTTGATTTAATTCCAGGGCAGTTCATGAAAGCTTCAGAGTGAACAAATTGGTTTCTTCAAGTACTTTAAACCCTAGCTAAACCGGTTACAGTTAATTTGGAGCAAAAAAAAAAAATGCTTTATGCGGTTGAGTATATATTTTAAAAGACATATGGCAGATAAGTCGCTTGTCTGCTCAGACAAAACTTGACACTTTCTTCAAATCTGCAATATTACGTATTAACAAGTGTAACTTCCGAGTCTGCTATCAATGAATAAATGTACTGTCTTTTTATCATTCTATTTTCCAATTATTTGTTTTCTAAGTTTTTTTTTGGGGGGGGGGGCTTTAGGGCCACTTTTTGCTTCAATAATCCAGATAACCTCCCCCACCCACTGAATTAAACCAGATTAGCGAGGGTTTACTGTATTTCTATTAGCCCTGACAGTTACCATTCCACCAATGCTCTGTTCTGATTTATCACCAACCCTTTAGGTGTGAGATAAGTGCAACTAGCCAATATTTTAAAAGTTAAAAAGTGATTTTTAATGTAGTTTGGGATAGTATCAGATCTGAAATAAAAAATCCCTGCTATTAAATGTGATTTTTTTATAGAAACTGAAAACAGCATAAATTATAATAAATTATTAAAATAACATTTTGATGGTCTGATGTTCTTAGAAGCTGGAGCTGACAAGTCGTGCCCCTTTTTTATGTATATTTTAACTCCCTTGTACTTCAAAAGTCAGGTCAAGTAAAGCAGGGACTGTGTGCACAGACACCTGACACTCCATACAAATAGTTTGAAAAGTTTAATACAAAGCCAGAACAATTAATGTTAAGAGTAAACTTAGGACTAAGTAAAAATTAGAACTGTCGCATGAAAAAAGAAAGTCACATATTACATACACATTTAATCTCTAATTTAATCTAAATATATTCTACTTACCAAATTGGCAGGCATTGCCTTCCCAACCTGATGGACAAATACATCTAAAACTGTCCACCAAGTCAACACAAGTGCCACCATTCTGACACGGAGCTGAAGCACATTCATCTACATCTGCAACAAAAGAAATAAGTTGTGATATTTTTATAATCAATTTTACACTTAAAAAGGGGTTTAAATAATTCATTCAGAATGCTTCCAAGACCGACAGAAATGAAAGTGAAAGAAATAAGAAAGATGAAAACTTTCTTAAATATAATGCCAAAACCTTAAATAATCATAGCATTGTATGAGAAGTATCTCTGGATCCCTTTGTTACTGAGGAACAATCTTTAATGATTGCATTCATTCACCTGTAATTGACTTTAACCTTTCTATTTCACAAAGTGAATACGAAACAACTTTTAAAAAGTTATGACCAGGTACCGGTTTCATTTAGATGTAGCTATCCTAGCCTTGTAGCAATGCCCTTTGACATAATTCTAATATGACCAATATTTCTTCATCAATTGTAATTTTATTCAATCTTCCACATGCAGAAAATTGTCGTCCCCTCCTCAAGTTTGCTTCCTCTCTGTCTTAATTCAGAACTAGTTAGCATCACTAAATGCACACTGCATTTAACAAAAATCAGTTAAGAGGATTTATGAATAACTCACAATATGAAGGTAGCTATTGAATTTCTTGAAACTCTTGTAAATTCATATATGAGGTGCTATCGGAATGTTCCCGGACTAGGTAAAAAATAATTGCTGGTTTAATTTACTCAATCTTGGCTGCCATCTCCTTCAAAATAGTCTCCTTGGGAAACATATACTGCAATCCCATCGTTCTTTTCACTACTCAAAAGCACAGTGGAAGACATTTTCCTTAATGCTGTTAAGTACCACTTGTAATTTCCTTTGGATGTCAGACACTGTTTCAAAATGTCGTCCCTTCAGTTTCATTTTCAATTTGGGAAAGAAAGCGAAATCACGGGGGGCTAAGTCTGGTGAGTAGGGAAGATAGGGAGCGATAACTATGTTGTTGTTAGTCACAAACTCTGTGGTTTTCAGGGACGTGTGGGAGGGCGCGTTGTCATGATGAAGGTGCAATGTGGCGCATGTTCAAATTTTCTGTTAAGATTTCCTGGCAAACTCCATAACTGATACCAACAGTGACTGCGAGCGCATGGATTGTTTGGCGATGGTCATCATTGATCAGTTCTCGAATTTTTTCAACATTTTCTGTCTGGTCACCCTGAACTTTTGTCATCTTCAGCTGACACTCGACCGGCCTTGAAAGGTGAATGTCATTCAAAAACCACTGTCCGGCTTAAAGAATGTTCTCCAAAAGCCTCAAGAAACATTTCACGGGGTTCGGTAGCGGATTTACCGAACTTCACGCAAAACTTGATGCAGACATTTTGCTCGATTTTGCCGTCCATCCCAGACAAAATGAAACATGAAGTCGAAAAAGCACTCATGTAAAAACAATGTGTTCACAGCGCGGTGTTACGGGGCAGACTGATGCAATAGGCTTGCGGAAGTGTGACCTTGGCCTCCTCTCATCTTCTTTCACCGAAGCGGTTACAACAGTAACAGTCCTTGAACTTTCCGCTACCACCTCGTGTTTGGGGAAACCAAAATTCATGAAAGTAGAAGCAAATCAACTATGGGGAATGCTTGCTATCTCTCAGGAATTTGCTTCCTCATCACCTGTTTAACAATGTAACTTTTATGATATACAGAAAACTGTAATTTGTCCTATCTTGTACAGGTATGAATCTTGGCTTCTCACACTAGGGGAAGAGAATAGATTCAGAGGGTGTGAGATCAATGTGCAGAGAAGTATATTTGGACCTGAGAGAGAGTTAGTATCAAAGAGATTGTAGAAATTTGCACAGTACAATTTATAATCTGTACAGTTCATCATGTGTATGGTGATATTATTTGGGCAGGTGAGGTGGGTGGAGCAGGTAGTATTCAGGGGAGAGGTGAGAAAGTAATACGAAGTTTTAGTCAGAAAACCTGCATGGGAGAGGATCATTTTGGATATCCAGATGTAAAAGGAAGGATAAGCACATCTGAAAGGCACAGGATGTGAAACTGTGGACTAGATTCTTCTTGTAGATTCTAAAGGGTTCTGACGATTATGTGCAACATTCGGGATTGCTGGGTTTCTTGGCTTTGTCTGTCCTCTGGTAGTCTAATATCACATTTTTTTTTCGGAAACTAGATCTGTTTCCATCCTCAGGTGAGGGAATGGGAGACACCTACTTTACTGGGTCCTCTAGAAAGAGCTAACCTCATCCGATGGAACACGAAAACCTGCAATACCATTGTGATTTATAACAATGAGGACATCATTTGCGTGTATATGATTGTTTCCAATAACTCCTCGTGAGTTATATCGCAGATGGCAATGTCCCCATTCATTATCTCTGAATAAAAGACCGAAACTCTGACACAGCAACTGCTACTATTATGTAACTCATTATCAGCATCGCCAACGTCTTGACCACCAACGAACACAGAATAATAAAACGCATTGCAGGTTAGTTCGCAGGGGTGGGTTACGATGAATGGTAGTTCTTTTATTACGTGTGAAATGACAGTTATCTTTATGAAGAAGAAAGCTTCCTTAGTTATTATGTGCAACATTGTCGCCGTGTGTGTTTTTACAGACGTCACTTGATAGCCCCTCGAAGCTTTCTTTCTGACCAAAACACACGCTATTCAACTTTGGAAAAAATGTTTCCTGCCACTATTTTCTATACTTTTCAAAAGATTATGGTCTTTCACCTTCGTTATATCCTTTTTCCGTCATAATTTCGGGTTGCATTCTCTCTATGCTTACCGGTTGAATCCTAGGAGGTTGGCAGGGGTGGTATTGATGAGTTTAAATTGGTTTGTCTCGTTGAAGAATCAGAAACAGACTTGGTGTTGCAGACGTCAGCCTTTTAAGTAAGGGCTTTAGAATGAGGGAAACACACACCGACCTCGAGACAGAGAGGGGGGTGAATGCTAAGTCAAGGCTACTGTGTTGTCTCTTTTTATTGCTTTCCTGAGAAAGAAGAATATCGGGCAGTGAAATCTCATAACTCACTTCTCTTTTTCGCAAACTTGGTTTCGGACTAGAAAAGAAAAAAGTTAAGGAAGGTTGGCTAAGTCATGACGCCTATTGCTATGTTCTCACAAGAAGTGCAACGTGATAAAATGAGAGACTTCTGTCATCCCAGCAGAAGTTTTATTTCAGATTTTAAAATAAATCACTGCCTTTTTTTTTACATACGCAGTCAAGTCACAGATAATATAACACCGTCAGTGAATGGGTTAGCAGAATTAAATGTCAGTGACAAGTGAAGTCTTGGAAGAGCATCTTACCTTATGTCACTGAAGGTCCACTTAATAAACTTCCAAACACAAGACGTACACGAATTTTATTAATTTGTAGTAAGGAACCGGGGTAGTTCAGTTGGTATAGTGACAAACTACAAGTTCGACGGCCCTGGATTCGATTCCCGGCAAGGGCAAGAGATTTTTCTCTACTCCACCTTCATATCCTCCACCCGTCTTCGTGGTGTAGTAATTAAGGAAGTCCAGGGGCAAAGTTACCTTCGCTTATATATATGTGATAATGAAAATGGAAGCAGCCACATCCCGAGCGAAGAACGGATACTTATTTTAGTACCAGATGCTAACTAGATGGCAGGTCGAAATGCTGTTCTACGAGTTCCAATGAACTGACATGCTTATAAGTAAAACACGATTCGTCACCCATATAGAGATTCCTTGATGTCACTCTTGATCGAACCGTTTATTGTTTGTTTAAAAGTGGTGCCTCATGCGTTAAACTGACTGTAACATTGAAATTCCAACAGCTGTCCATCAGTGAAGTTACAAGTGTTTCAGATAAAACCCAAGTACTAAAAAAAACAAACTAAATTTCAAATCCTAGTTTACTGTTACCAATTTTCTTCATTTCAGTTTCTTAAAGCATAAGGCAATTAATCGATTCTCCAAAAATCACTGCACAGAACTGTCCTAACTGGAACATACAAACTATAGAAGCCAATTCTACAACGTGTTGGTCGTCATTCATACAGAAGAGAAAAATACCTGTAAGTAACAAAGTGAAAAAACGCCCATTAGCTTCGCCATGTTACCTATCCTTTTGTATGCCTTTCTCAATTATGCTCACTTTTCCGGTATTTTAATTCTATCCATGTTCTTTTTTTGATTGGCGCGTTCGCAACGAAGGTTTCTTCGTCGGTCTCTCTCGTAATATGTAATCGCTTAAGAATGGCTGATCAAATTTTCGTCAAATTTCATTTTGGACAGTTCTACTACAATTTGTAGACAAAGTTCAATTTTCGTTAAAATAGGATACCAATAATTAATATCCTGAATCTGAAGATGACAGATATTTTCCGATTATAGTGGCCGCGTGGCCTAAGGAATAAAATGTCACCGCCCGCTCAAACACTAGGATCGTGGGTTCCAATCCAACTGGAGGGCTTAATGTCTGTCTATGTTGTCCTGTGTAGGTAACGGCCTTGCGATGGGCTGATTCCCCTTCCAAGGAGTCCTACCCACTCACTGTAAGATCCGTAGTTCCAGATTAATTCTCAATGAAAATAGGTGATAGAGCAGAAGAGGAAGATGATGAACAACAACAACAAGAAGGCATTCGGAAGGGAGGGCACGTAAATATATGTAATTACTTTATGGGGGGACACGGTATCATAAAATCTGAAAAGGTTCGGATTAATTAAATTAAAAGCCAAAACGAATTGTCAGGATGTAAACTTAAATATTCACTAAATACCAACATGCTGAGGTTGCCACGGTGGTGACTATGAAGACCGCTGTCTTGAGGGGTGTGACTTCGCAGGAACTTGTCGCCTCTGTCTTCAAGGTACAAGAAATCCCTAAGATAGAGGCGGTACATTTCTCCCGAAACATCAGAGAACATATACCAGACTACACTGCTGCATATTCTAGAACTCTAGACCTATCGGTTAGTTTGTCATGTAAATTTATTTTATTTGACAAGCCGAATTTAGGGCGTTCTGACAAAAGTTTTTTCGTTAGTCTCATTTTTGGTTTCAGCGACACGTAATTTCTAACACT